GCGCCCGGCCGGATCCCTTTTATTTATTTCTCCTGCCTCATTGCTCTGGTTGGGAGTCCAGCACTATGTTGAATAGGAGTGGTGAGAGTGGACATCCTTTTCCTGTTCCAGTTCTTAGAGGAAATGTTTACAACTTTCCATCATTCAGTATGATGTTTTCTGTGTGTTTGCCATATATGGCTCCTATTATTTTGATGTATGTTCCTTTGATGCCTCATTGGTTGAGGGTGTTTGTTTGTTTGTTTTGAGACAGTCTTCCTCTGTCTCCAGGCGCCAGGCTGGAGTGCAATGGCGCAATCTCGGCTCACTGCAATCTCCACCTCCTGGATTCAAGCAATTCTCCTGCCTCAGCCTCCCAAGTAGCTGGGACTACAGGCACGCGCCACCACACCCAGCTAGTTTTTGTATTTTTTAGTACAGATGGGATTTCACCATGTTGACCAGGATGGTCTCGATCTCTTGACCTCGTGATCCACCCGCCTCGGCCTCCCAAAGTGCTGGGATTACAGGCGTGAGCCACCGTGCCCGGCAGTTGAGGGGTTTTATTACAAAAAGATGTTGAATTTTATCAAATGCTTTTTCAGCATCAGTTGAAATGATTGTTTTTTTGTCCTGCACTTTGTTGATATGATGTCTCACATTAATTGACTAGCATATGTTGAACCACCTTTGCATCCCTGGAATGAAGCCCCCTTGACCTCGACGAATTATCTTTTTGATGTGTTGATAGATTCCGTTTGCTAATATTTGTTGAGGACTTTGGTATCTATGTTCATCAGGGATGTTGGCCTACAGTCTTCTTTTTTTTGTTGTACCCTCCCCTGATTTTGGTATCAGGGATTCGTGGTGGATTTGCAGCATGAGTTAGGGAAGAATGTCTCCTCCCCAGTTTTTTGTAAGAGTTTCAGTAAGATTTGTACTGGCTCGTCTCTGTATGTTTGATAAAATTCAGCTGTAAATCAGTGTGATCTTGGGCTTTTTTTTTTCTTTAAGATTTTTAGGTACTAATTTGATTTCATAACTCATTATTGGTATGTTCAGGATTTCTTTCTGGTTCAATCTTGGGAGGTTGCATGGCTCCAGGAATCTATTCATTCCTTCTAGTTTTCTAGTTTATGCACATAGAGCTATTCTTTTTAGTGATCTCTGCTGATCTTTTTTATTTCTGTGGTATCAGTTATAACGTCATTTTATCATGTCTAATTGTACTTATTTGAATCTTCTCCTTTTTTTGGTTAATCTAGCTAGTAGTCTTTCAATATTCTTTATTTTTTCAAATAACCAACTTTTTATCTCATTGATCTTTCACATCATTTTTATGCTCAATCGCATTTAGTTCTGCTCTAATCTTTGTTATTTATTCTGCCAGCTTTGGGTTTGTTCTTGTTTTTCTAGCTTCTTGTGTTTGTTTGGGATTTTTCTGTCTTTTTTATGTTCACTATAACTTTTCCTCTTAGCACAGCTTTTGCTATATCCCAGAGATTTTGGTTTGTTCTGTCTGCATTTTTTTTTGTTTCAAATAATTTGTTAATTGTGCCATTATTTCACTGTTTACTTAGAGTTCTTCAGGAGACCGTGGTTCAGTTCCATGTACTTGTGTAGTTTCAAGAGTTCCTCTTGGTATTGTTTCTAATTTTATTCTGCTGTGGTCTGAGAAGATACTTGATATGATTTCATTTTTAAAAAATTTATTGAGACTTGTTTATGGCCAAGCATATAGTCCATTTTAGAGACTGTTTCATGTACAGATGAGAAGAACGTATATCCTACAGTAGTTGTATAGAATGTTCTCTAAATACGTATTAGGTCCATTTTATCTATAGTCTAGTTTAAGTTCACAGTTTCTTTGTTGATTTTCTGCCTACCGGCGTCAGTGAGGGGTTGAAGTCTCCCACTGTTATTGTATTGCTGTCAGTATCTTTTCTTAGATCTTGTGGTATTTGTTTTACGAACCTGGGTGCTCCAGTGCTGGGTGCATATATATTTAGGACAGTTAAATCTTCTTGTTGTATTGAACTCTTTGTCATTACATGCTCTTGTATTTTTTCTTTTTATTTTCTTTAAAAAAAAAAAAAAAACTATCGTTAAAGTCTGTGTTATCTGATATGGGAATGGCTACTCCTGCTTACTTTTTTTTTCTATTTTCATTATATATCTTTTTTCCTCCGTTTACCTTGAGTCTGGAGGATGTCTCTAGCCAGTAGGTAGTCTCTTGTAAGCAGCAGACGGTTAGGTCTTGCTTTTTATCCAATGTGCTACTCTGTGTGTTTTAGGTGGAGCATTTGGGCCCATTTACATTTAAGGTTAATATTGATACGTGAGGTTTTATTCCCATTATATTGTCATTAGCTAGTTGTTTCGGAGTTTCTATTGCATAGTTTCTTTATGGCAATGGGAGCTTTGTACTTAAGGGTCCTTTTATGATAACTGTTGTCTTTTCTTTGCTATGTTTAGAACTCCTTTAAGCATTTTTTTTTTTTGAGACAGAGTTTCACTCTTGTTACCCAGGCTGGAGTGCAATGGCGCGATCTCGGCTCACCACAACCTCCGCCTCCCAGGTTCAGGCAATTCTCCTGCCCCAGCCTCCTGAGTAGCTGGGATTACAGGCACGTGCCACCATGCCCAGCTGATTTTTTGTATTTTTAGTAGAGACGGGGTTTCACCATGTTGACCAGGATGGTCTTGATCTCTTGACCTTGTGATCCACCTGCCTCGGCCTCCCAAAGTGCTGGGATTACAGGCGTGAGCCACCGCGCCCAGC